GTAAGGATTTGTGCATGCATTTGAATATATGTGTGTGTATATACTGTGATTGCAAATTTCTGCTAGTTTTCGTTTCTTTACTTTTTCCTCTTTTGATCTCTTTGTGCGTAAAATTATACTCTCCTCTGTTCAATAGTCAAATACAACGATCTGTTTACTTGCTAGTTTTGCGTTTCTTTACGTTTTCGTTATTTTGCTCTCTGTGAGCGTAATCCTCTTAATTTTCCCATTCTTCTTCCTGATAATTATCTGCTAGAAAAGAAAAGAAACAANTGCAAAGTAATATGTTTAAAAAGCAGCTGTTCAAAACGCACAAGGAAAAAGATGGCAAGTTTATTTTACTTCGTTTTAATACAACAAATTGAGTGCATCGTTATCAAAACACTTTGAAATATTGCAGAATGTAACCTACAAGACATTGCTGAGCACTTTAGGCAAAAATTCTCACACATTTACACTTTTGTTTTTGTAGTACGGCATAAATGAGTAGTTTGACTATTAGTACTGAGGACTTTCTGATGACAACATTGAGGGGAAAGTACTCAAATTTTTCCCATGGCCTGAACGAAAATGAGGACTTTGATAAGCACTTTTGTGATTAGGAGTAATGATAATATGAGTACTCATATGATACTCAGCTGTCTTGTAGGGTAAGGATTTGTGCATGCATTTGAATATATGTGTGTGTATATACTGTGATTGCAAATTTCTGCTAGTTTTCGTTTCTTTACTTTTTCCTCTTTTGATCTCTTTGTGCGTAAAATTATACTCTCCTCTGTTCAATAGTCAAATACAACGATCTGTTTACTTGCTAGTTTTGCGTTTCTTTACGTTTTCGTTATTTTGCTCTCTGTGAGCGTAATCCTCTTAATTTTCCCATTCTTCTTCCTGGTAATTATCTGCTAGAAAAGAAAAGAAACAAAGCCAATGTCAATGTCCGTATAATTTGTTGTTGTAATTTTTGTTTTTGTTCTACCAACGCCACCTTTAATAAATTCGCTTTGGGTGTGCTGTCAAATCAGTAAAAGCAAAAACAAAATCAGCTGATTAAAAAAAACCTCCTCGATAAATTCGCCTTGGCAGTATATTTTATTAATAATTAGTTTTTGCACAAATATATTTATTAAAAATGAGCAGCAGTGCCGGCGGCGCGCGTGCATTACCGCAGTCAAAGGAAGCGCTACTAAAATCCTACAACACACGTCTGAAAGAGGATGTACGCAGCATGTTGGAGAATTTCGAAGGTACAGATCACAAACTAGTAAATTTACTTTATTTTTCTTTCCTTCTAAATATTTGATACATATTACTTAATTGAATACGTTCCACTGTGTCGCTTGCCGCGTGTACTTGTCAGCATTTGCTGTAACTGTTGCAAGCCCTCCGCCAGGCCCATGCCGTTGATGGCGCAGCACTCCTGTATAGCCCACTGCTGCGTTAGAGATTGTAATTGCAACAATGCCATTAACTGTTCCGCCCCTAAGGCGCCTGGCAAATCCTGTTTGTTGGCAAATAAAAGGAATACAGCTTCCGCTAGCTCTGGACGACACCACAGCCACCGCAACTCATCCAGGGCTCGGGGCAAACGACGTACATCTGTTGCATCGACTACAAATATAATAGCACGCGTATTTTGATTGTAATGCTCCCAAAGCACGCGCGTACGCGGTCGAGACCCACTAACATCCCAAATATTCATTACCATTTTGCCGCAACGCACTTTTTCAACATTGAAGCCTACCGTGGGTACTGACTCAATATTGCGGTCCAATTTCAGCTGATATAGTATAGTTGTTTTGCCAGCATTATCGAGGCCCAGCATACCGACAGGCAATTCCGGTTCAACTTTAGGAAACCAACGGCCAAATAATTGCGATATACGGCCGCCCATTTGGGGAATTTTAGATGATAGTCAAAAGCGAGGAATAATTCTGCACGCACAAATGAGCGTCAAGTTAGACGTAACAAATAGTGTTCACTGCCTAACTATGTGCCGCTGACGTGGCTAAGTTTCGAAAAATTGTGCGAACAAAAATAGCAGTCACTAATATTATATCATAAAAGCTGTTTGTATCTATATTTTACACGCTACTTAATTTAACTTTACAAATTCTTTATTATGAAAACCGGCACCATACCAGGCATATTTGTATTAATACGCCCGTTGAAAGCAGTGCATGTACCTAGGTATATTATCTTACTGCATATACATATGTTTATATTTAAAAAAATAAATAAAATATGTAGTCATCGCCATTGTCTAGCAGTTTATCAGATCGTCTGGCATAAGTATGGCTGTATAACTTAGTTGTTATATTTTTTGCGTTTATTAAGCATATCGCACAGATACTCAAAACCATCGTAGTCCATTACCGCGCGTAGCACAATTACCGTGTACATGCCAATCTTGTTTGATGTCATGTAAGTTCAAGCGCTTCACAATTTTGCCAATACAAAGCGCTTGTGGCAAGTCTTGCTTATTGGCAAGCACTAGCANAGTCCATTACCGCGCGTAGCACAATTACCGTGTACATGCCAATCTTGTTTGATGTCATGTAAGTTCAAGCGCTTCACAATTTAGCCAATACAAAGCGCTTGTGGCAAGTCTTGCTTATTGGCAAGCACTAGCAACACAGCATCGCACAATTCAGGACAATCCAACATGGCATGTAGCTCATCTGCCGCCTCACTCAAACGTTCAACATCGGCGGCGTCTACTACAAAGATCACCGCGGAGGTATTAGCAAAGTAATGATGCCAAAGATTACGTATGCGTTGTTGGCCGCCAATGTCCCAGACTGAAAAACGTATATTTTTGTATTCCACAGTTTCAACATTGAAGCCAATGGTGGGCATTGTCGTTACGACTTCGCCAACTTTCAGTTTGTAGAGTATAGTAGTTTTCCCAGCGCCATCGAGACCAACCATTAGGATGCGTATATCTTCTTTACCCAGAAAATATTTTACTAGATTTGAAATTAAAAGGCCCATGTGAAAAAAGTACAGCAGGGGATTGCGCTTTCTTCGCCTGTTTGGAATGTAAATATATAGTTTTTGTTTTACAGCCAATTTCACGAAAGCAATTTAAGTTAAAAATGATTTTAATTTTTTGAATATTATATAGAAATTGACAGAAAATAAAAAAATCATTTCCATTTAATTTGCTGGTGAGACCGGCTGTTAAAGATTTTTGAGAAAATTTGACTTCCCTGACTTTTGAATTGCCAACTTTTTGAAATCATGTAGAATGCCATATCAATTGGATGTTAGAAAGAGTTTTTGGAGTTATTTGCAATCATTGCCTATTTCGGCATTTACCTCGCTTCCACTGATATCCCAAAACTTAAGATATCTTCCTTCCTCTAATTTCAGAAATAATTAAATTGGCACGTGGCGAAGGCGACTCTCAAATCTCCAAAACAACACAGTGCGAGCAGGATACATATGAAATGCAAGTGCGTGCTGCGAATATCGGTAAGTCCAAGAAAACATCCGATGATCTCCTTAAATGTATGTTAAGATAATGCTTTCTTAATAAATATTTTCAATAACGGTTCCCGTTTTCTATTCTATTTTCAGTGCGCGCCGGCGAATCACTCATGAAACTTGTATCAGACATTAAACAGTATCTAATTTTAAACGATTTTCACTCAGTTAATGAGGCAATCACCAATAACTCGCAATTATTCCGTTCAAAACAAATGGAATGCGATAAGAAGCTAATGAAATTGCGGGACGAAATGGCAATGGATTTGTATGATCTCGAAGAGGAATATTATACTAGCATATTTAAATGAAAATAAATTAAGTTTCAAAATACTCCTCTCTATTACTACTTAAATATATAAGATTTAATACTTTTTGTATGTCTAAGTACATAGTATATCCAAGATTAATTTGCCGCATCGCTATCGTCATCATTGCTTTCATCATCCAAATACTCAAAATTCGGTTTGCGTATACAATAAGCGGCTGGTGTATTTCTGTTTGGGCTGACCTTTTCTTCAGGCAATGGTTTGCCATCCCCGCTCGGCTGTTTGCTGCGATACGAGATAAAAGTTATTTAACTAGAAATAAAGTTTTTTTTTTTTAAATTTATGCGCACCTCTTTTTTGGCAGCCGCGGTCTGCCCGGTATTCTGCNACAGAATAGTCAATTACACTTCAGGAATCGTAAAATGTACTTCAGAATGGTCAATTGTACTTCAGAAACCGTAAAATGTATTTCAGAACAGTCAACTGTACTTCAGAATAGTCAATTGTACTTCAGAAACCGTAAAATGTTCTTCAGAATAGTCAATTGTACTTCGGAAACCGTAAAATGTACTTCAGAATAGTCAATTGTACTTCAGAAACCGTAAATTGTACTTCAGAAACCGTAAATTGTATTTCAGAAATCGTAAAATGTACTTCAGAAGACGAAAATTCGTACACATTGTAATTATTTAAATAGTATATATATTATAGTGATTTTAAATATATTTACTTTTTAATATATTTTTCAAATTACAAGTAAATTAGTTTGTTCGCAATGTCTATACATTTAAGAATGAAACAATTAATTTATTAATGCAGTTTTAAATTATGTACCAGCTGGCATATCGAATAAAGATAGTGCATCTGGGTGAAAAGTGGTAGAATGTTGAATGGCTCTGCCACAATCTCCACCA